GAGTTCAAAGGTATTTACCTATATTTCCCTCAATAAAAACCTGACCTGACCTACCCGTTTCTGCCGATTTCTCTGAGGATGAATCCAATACGGAATCCGAAACGTCGAGTGAATAAATCTCTTGTCCCAGTGATCAAATATGCATTTTTTCGCATGTTTGGGTAATTCAGTTTCCACTCAATTCTGTTAATTCACAATAGAAACAGCTGCACCGCCCAGAGAGTACGGCCGCTTAATGATTAGCAATCGCAAGGTCACTTCGCGAATATTTATATTGCCGAATATGACAGTTGCGGTACAATGAAGACCCCTTCTGTTTCTGCTATCACTATTTTGCGGGTCATATTCTTAAATCAGTTTACATTCTAAATTATTAAAAGTTACTATACAATGTTTTTTAATAAGTTACTTAGGTGTCTCTTGGACTATTTGGTTCATGCCCTCAAACCAAAGCGCCCCAATGTTCCAATTGTCCAGTAGTGGTCAACTAAATTTCGATTATCACCCTGGACACGCTAGAGCACGTACTGTATTTTTTAAGCTTCAACCTGTGCCGTTTCTTCATAGTTGCAGCTAAATCAAGATAAATAGTTATTATTTTTAACTTGTTGCTCGTTTTTCTTACAGAACGCCGGATGGTTTGAACAGTACACCTGGGCCCTATTTAAGGCGATGTCCCACATGTTGTCAATAGGATACGGTCGGTTTCCACCGACCAGTGCCAGTGAAGCCTGGATAACTATCATCAGCATGATGACTGGGTCCACTTGTTACGCCCTCTTCGTCGGTCATGCTGCCGCTCTCATTCAATCCTTCGACTGCTCGAAAAAGATGTATAGTGAAAAGGTGAGCTGTTGGTGATTGTATGCAATTTGTTTTTATGACAGACCATCACCAAACATTGAAGGCAGTTGTCAATACAAGCGAACATGCGAGTCGCAGGAATTCATTGAGGAGAAGGCGATCGAGAAATCTTCTTCTCAATTGAAGGCAGTATTAAATGTATTATTTAAAGTTCATGTCTACGCAGACGATGTCTCCGCAATATATTAATGGAAACCAACTCGCAGTTTGAGAAATTTAAAAACGAATGGACATCCTACAGTTCTCGTTGATGAATTTGTATAGGTTTTGAACAAATAAATATTCTTCCGAGGCAAAGTACTCCCCGGTGCAAACTATTGGAAAGAAAAAGAAATTTGCTGATTTTAGCTGCATTAGTAGGACTGCATTTTTTAGCAAACAGTACATACGGAAAAGGTCGCAGTCCAATTACTGTAAGAAGGTGTTACCCCTGAAACATAGAACAAAAATAATTAAGCCATTCCGAAGTGTTGGTTTTAACCTTTCGTCTTTTTTGTCGTTTTCCTTCATGTATATGTTGCTCCCTTTGTAGTGAATCCCATCTTCGTTGACGAGTTTAATTGAAAAGGCGTCGATAAAAGGGTTAAAAAAGTAGATATTTAGGAGCCTACTTAAGGGTGTTTACCGGTGTGATCAAAGAATATTGTATGGTATTCAAAGTCACGACTTAATGAAACTGTGCAGTTTGCAGGTTCGAAACATTAGCGGCGAGTGAGAATTCGAGTCGGATTAAAACCTATGCGGGAGTTTCAAAGCTTTTAAAAACTGAAAGATTAACTTGCAAAAGCATAGGCTTCGTATAAAGCCTACTTTGTTACAAAAGGAATACAGCAAAAAAACTGAGAAAGCATAGACGCAATTACTCGGACCATAATTTTATTTGCCCGCTGTTTCAAGTCCATCGCGGTTTCTTCAGCAGAGACAAAAGCAGAAACTGATAATTAATACAGGAGGTATTGCAGTATTTACCAGATGCAGGCACTACACTATTGCATTCTTATGACGGTTAACGGCTCTTCCGTCAAGGATAATTTCCCGCTTGTGCGCATAATGCTTAATTTTCGGCGTGCAGGTCCCCCTGCTGAACGCATAATTGTAGGTTATAGAAGTAGGCGGGATTATGGTATGTGGCTCGGTTAAATGGGCCAGTGGAGGACCAACTTTCTAGCAGAAATCAGGCCATCTTTTCACTAGCTCGGCCTATTATTCTTGCTTTCTTAAAGGCCAACGTGTGATTCTTCTGCTGTACATGGTCATAGACCATAGGTAGCTTATACTTGCGGTTGATTTCAAGTTGATGCTCATGTACCCTTTTGCTAAGGCGTCTGCCCGTATCACAAACATACATTGCATCGCAGGTTTGGCATGGTATGCTGTAGACCACTGCTGATTGTTCTGTCATTGGTAGCGGGTCGTTGGGCCTCATCATCTGCTATCTGATGGTTGACTCTGGCCTAGGAGTCACACCGATCCCGAATGGTTTCAGGATTCTTGCATAGGTGATGGAGAGCCAGAACTCAGGATCTTCTTCTTTCGGCCGCTTAAGACGAGGCTTCTTAAGGCGCTTGCGTATGAAAAACTTTGGATAACCGTTGGCTTGAATGGCAAGAATGCTTTTGAAATGGCAGCATAAATAAAACCTGGTCTCAGAAATTTCCCGTCTATTTCTTCCTCTTCCGGGGGGATTAAAGCAATCAATAATGTTCATCAGTTCGTCCATCTTAGTCATAGGAATAGCAGGGTGAGTGTAGATAAGAGCGAGATGGTTACGCTTCAGTAGGGGTTTTGTGTGGGCATTCTAGGGAAAGGGGGCAAATAGTGAGAGCATTTGAGAGTGTAGTAATGCGACTAGTGGCTATGCCTGGCCTGGAGCTTGCATGATGTGCTTACAGCAGGTTCTTTTGTACACACAAGATCGAATTCCTCAACCTGTTAGCGGCCGCTTCGGATGTTGCTGCCAGACGCTAACCCAGGGATTTAGGTAGTTTGG